TTCTAAACTTTTGAAAGACATGGTTGAATCAAAAGAATTACATAAAACGGAAGATTTTTTACGACATGCTGTGTGGTGCCGTGGGAGGATCGATTTCTTTGGTCCAAAAAACATGCAGTTTTTGTGTCGTTTTGGTAGGAAGTTCTTGGACACAATAGAACTTCTGACACACTTTCAACACCATCAATAAAGCATAGTACTGCAGACGTCAATCGAATTACCGATCAATGTAGTGTAGGATAGGGATCCTGAACAACATTTTAGGGATATTGGGAAGATAATTCAAAATCGGCGTCGTGGTTCAAAATGACCTCAAAACGCGTTAATTTTGTCTATTACCATTTCTAAGTTTTTTAATTCAGTAATTAAGCTGCAAAATTAAAACCACAAACAGGATTTTTTAACAGACATACCTACATACTAATATTAGTCATCAAAGCACCTGCATATACATGAACGCAATGAACTGCGAATTCGAGTCACCTTTGACTTTAAACTTAAAGATGACCATGATCAAGAAAGTCATCAAACAAGCCATCAAACACTAACGCATTCCATTATACCTACAGGTATTTATAAAAGAGCAAGAAAAAGAAAGAATCCTGAATGAATCATTTGAGTCACTACTTAAAATGGAAGGAACCGCCTGCCTCGTTGATCGAGATGTCCCTAGTACGACTGTTGAGTCAAACAAACTACAAAGCATTGACATTGTTCAAGTAACTGAACCTTACCTGACACCTTAAGGTGTCTGGGTCAAAATTCGGTAATAGACATCCCTAACAGTAATACCGGAGCAAGCTTAACCCATTTGACGTAGCTTAGTGTTGATATTACAATTTAGTTGGGCATACAATACCTAACGGGCAGTTACCGTCTTTAACATAAGGGCACTCGGGCGGATCCCGATGCCCTTATGCCCAGAGCCTGTGCCCAGAGAATCCCGTAGGACCGACAATTTCACGACGACACACACCCGCTACATGTTGCGCGGCAAACGGCTGCCGGTGTAATCTGAGTATTCTGGGTGTTATGTGTATATGAACTAGTATGTGTGTAAATGCACCCACGATACAGGACAACATCCTAGTGTGGGGCAACGTTAAAGAAAATCATTCCGGAAGAAAATATTCTAAAAGAGCCCCGAATTTTTGTGCGCCCAAGGGCGTAGTCTTAGACGGCGCTGCTAACAGGTAAATAAATACATTTCGCGCCCTTTATAACCTCTAAAGGTACATAATACTCTTAGTACTTAATTGTTATTAAATATTGTCGACAAGTCTTAAGCTAATGGCGATCGACCTTTAGTTGAAAGGTACTTTGATATACGTAGCTATTGCTTTATTAGTACCTACTTAGTTTGATTTTCAATTGTTTGCAAGTAAGGAGGGGAATTTAAATCCAGCACCTAGATAATTTCTCTACCGACTGCGTTACCTATACCTACTTCTCAGCTACCCTACCCTACGAAAGGGATATTTTAGGTGGTTACTTAAGAAGATGTCAAGAATTTCAAGTCATATGTAATATTATTCTATACAAAAAAACACAGAGGTACCTAATGCTTGTGAGACTAAAATCATCGATAAAAGTTTGCAAAATGACAACTTGCAAAAACACAAAAGATTGATATGGCTCCAAAACCTGGACTACAGATTAGAACTAGATCAGTAAATAAGGCACTAGTTAGACAAAGGTAAGTACAAACACTTTCTCTCAAATTATCTTATGAAACGTTATCTGATTAATTCATTAATTCACAACGTAATGACGATTAGACATTCAGATGACAATTATAACACGAATCACGAACTGTTACAACAGTGTCACAGTACATAATGCATATAATTTGAATAATACGAATGTTTATTTAAATTATAATTAGTGCGCAATTATGTTAATAGAACATTATCTTTGTAGTGGTTGTAGGTTCGACTGTATTTTGCCGCTGAAATAGAGTTTAGGGTTAAAAGTCTCTACACTGAAATCTGTTGTCTGGAAATACACCTCTGTCTACTCCGACGGTAAATCAAATGCATGATGTTATGTATCAAGAAAACCTTTAAAATGTATTTTGTGTTTAACTGCCCAGAAGTTATATCTTAATTTGTTAAAACACATTGTAAGGAATATTATTAAGTTGCCTATTACCTATTTGATTAAAACTATAATATTAAGAAGCTACCAACCTGTAATTTTTCAAATCCAAAATTATCCAATTTCATATTGATATATTCTAAATTTTTGTCGTCTAATTCACTCATTCGTCACTGAACTTTTTTACGAAACTTTCATTACACTATTCTCAACACTATCGACAACCACTAAACCACAAAAAAAAACAAAAGAACACAGATAATCTAAAAAAAACAAAATCTTTATTTAGAACTTTTGAATTTAGAACTTAAATGTCACGACGGAGGTTGTATAGTCGTTAACCGTAGGCGTCCACCAGTGACGCCTGACTCACGCCATATGAGATTACGGACAGCCTTGCGGCCTTACCAAACTCCGAAGGCACGAAATAATTTACAACCGAGAAAATGAACTCACCGCGAGTTAATTTCTGTATCTAGGTAGGCGGTTAGTTTTCCAAACGCGGCTGGTTAAACACCAATAAAGTATGGTACTACTATTCAAATGGAGGTTTTGTTTACTTGCAAGTTAGTTTGGTTAGTGCCCAGTGGCGTGTCCCAAGATAGAGCGAAGAAAGTATTGTCAAACATAAGACAAGTGGCTCTTTCACGTAAGGCGAGCGTTTTACAAGCAGTTTAAGTTACTACGTGGTTTCCACATAACTTCTAAAGAAGTTTCACTTTTGGTGTTATTTCCACACTAAGATTATTATTATAAATAACATCGAATGTTTACGATATACTTAGACCAAAAATCAAGCTCCTTCCTCATTGAAAAATAAAAAAAGCATCCCTGAAACTAAGACATAACTTCATCTAACAGCTGAGACATCGCAATACTGATCTGGGACATGTCCGGGGAAAGCCTTCACCGTGCTCCACAGCAAACGAATACAAGCCACTTATCGGTACTTCTAATTAAACCATTTGTACGCATCTCTCGTCACTTTTCCTATAAGAAGAAATATCGATTTAGGTTTCTATCTTAAAATCTAGTTTAAAATTAAGACTATTTCGATTTTTGATGCGTATTAAAAGTGTCGTACAAAATGTGCACGTTTGAACTGAAACTGCACGGAACAATTCTTTGCGTGATTAGGTACCTAATTTTATAAAAAAAAATGTTTTGGTCTGCGTGTGATGTGCTTGAATTTGTAGGTACTTATTATAAGTACATATATTTGTAAACGCTCCCAGTACAGGACACAAGAGAAAATTCTAGGGTAGGGCTCACAGTCCTAGCTAAAATCTTGGGGATTCCAAAGACCTTCCATTTACCGTTCACTAAATACTTCTAATATCAAGCTGTAATTTTAGTCTATATCCATCTATAGTTATATAGTAATCTAGTCTTCATTCCAGTCTGCCTTCCACACAATCATTTGCGATTCCACATTGATACAGGACTCAAATTCAATTCCATTTACACTTCGTATTTCACAAAGCTCGAGTTCATAGTATAGGAGGTATGTGACCACATCATTATTCACCCAGCGACTTTAAGCTACAAAAACCAAAGAATGTCGCTCACATGAACAAAACGATGACACCCTTAACACAACGATGTAAAGTCTACAATAGCGTGAAGTACAAGCTTCTCATCAGCTGTTCTGGTTTTGTTCGAGCTCAGAAACAATGGACATTTTATCCACACCGAAGTGGTAACATTATCTGCAACTATTCAGTTTGTTTAGTCTCTGTAACTGTGGTGTTAGAGTTCGAAATCGCGTGACAAAGTTTCGTATCCTAGAATTGAAATTAATACCGCCATTATGATGCGTAGCGGCGCCTATCAACAATGTGTTATTGAATATCAACTATAGACATTTGCTATAAGCGATGATAAGGGTATTTAGATATACAACAAATACGGGTTTTGGTATTCTGTTCGTAAAAAGAATATTAATGATACGTGGTCTTTCTGGTAATGAGTTGGGGCCAAATTAAAAGTATCCTTAACCGACGAGCATGCATGAAGACTGATTTCTGTTGATGAAGCGAAAGAGGTATGTAGGTATCGTAATAAGTCTCTGCCTACCGCCATGGGAAAAAGGCGTGAGGATATGTATGTATGTATTAGCTATGTACAATAATTCCAAACTCCGAGCAGTTAAGAGAATTTTCGAAAATCGAGAAATCCAAATTGCAAAATAGGTTTATAAGACCTGACAAACTAAGTAAATAACTAACTGCATTGAATAGTTTATGTAAGTTTTATTCATTTATAATATCAATATTTTGTACAATATTCTTGTGTTTGGAATTATAAAATTGATAACTGTAATGGTAACTTAGGAAATTAAATTAAATGTTTCAAATATACATCTAGTTATTAGTACTCAATATGGGAATAAAACTGAAGAACTGTCTGTTGACACACTCATACAAGACAGTGCCAAGAAACAACAATAAATTACTTGAATTCTTTACATTTGACACAAAATAAGGAATAAATAAAGTGATGACGAAAAAGAAAACCAGTTTTAAAATATACACATTTATTATCATATTATCAATTGAGAACCTTATACAATGTAAATATAAAGCCTATTTACCCTATAAGGAATAGGCAGCTATCTGTTTTGCATCGCTACACAAGTAGCTTGAACCTTGGCATACATAGTGTATGCTGTTATTAAATTATAGTAGCCAATAGGTCAACCTATCCTCCTGTGCCAAATTCCTTTATTATATTTTTAACTTTATACTCTATAATATATATAAAAATGAAACCCGTTTCCCGTTGTCAGACCATAACTAGAGAATGGCTAGACAGATTTGTCTGATTTTTTTTGTTGTTTTTATTATTGTCAGGAGAAGGTTCTTATGACAGAAAAGGGTCCTAAAAATAATACGGGAACGGGAGAAAACGGAATTGCGCGTACGAAAACATGGCAGAAGCTAGTATATAAAGTAGAAAATCCAATAAATAAAATTTATAGATAAGTAGGTTGATCTGCTACCCACTGTATATCAGGAAGTGTAATGTAAGCTACAAATCTCAATTTGTAGGTTATTGCAGTATTTTGTTTCATCTCGAGTACCAAACATAGAAAGTAATAATTATGGCATTCAGCAACTAATCTTAATTCTTATAAATATCCCTTCAATGTAGATAAATTTGTGCCCTTAAATGCTAATACTTCATCAGGATTAGCCTTTATCTTTTCTATAATCGCTTGTTTATTAAACTTTATATCATTTGCATAATCCTGTTTCAACATTCTCATTTTATTCACAATTTTATTTCTAAGGGTTTTTTCCACATCTTGGTTTTGTAACATACTGGCCAGTTCTGGTAATGTCTCTGGTAGACTTATTTCATTATCTGTGTACTCTATGGCTATGGTTTTAGTTTTTGTTTGCTTTTCACTATATCCTTTAACTTTTTTAGCACAGATATGGTTATCTGGTACTCTATCCACTGCAACCTGCTTACCATCATCGTCAAACACTATTTTCTTGTTTAATTTACAGTCACATTCACTGTCAGTTGATTCTTCTGAGTTTATTTTTCTTTTTCTGTGTGAACTCGGACCTGCTCCACTGTTTAAGTCTAATAAATGGCCATATTTAGTTTCAATTTTGTTTATCACATCTTTGCACTTTTTGTACACTGTTTTCAACTCTTCTAAGTCACTTTTATCAATAATTTCAGTTGTGGCTTGCTCGTCTGAAGATTTTGATTTTTGTGTGGTATTTTTATGTTTTTTGTTGGATTTTCGCTTCGTTTTACTATCATTTTCTAAAGATTGTGATGATATTTCTTCAGTTTTTCTTTCAGTAGAACTACTTTCACTAGTGTTTATGAGTTCCCGCACATGATTCTTCACAATAACATACGACTTTGGTTCCACTAGTGGTCTTCGAATCAGCGCCACTTCTACAGGCTTTTCACAATCTTCTTGAACAACCATCATAAAATAATCTGTAATTCGTTAAATTAATACCGTTTTAGAATAGTATTTATTTGTGAAAGATTAGAAACACGTGCAAGCACTCCACAATCCATATACGCCGTACATTTGACATTGACAGTTGTAGTGAGGTGCCACGCCACGCCGGTCGTGAGTTAACAAGATGGCGGCGTTAGTCGAGTGAAACGAATCTCACGAAGTCCTTCATTTAGTCATAAAATCAATTTATTTTGTTTTTTTAAATACTTCAAATATATTATTATTATATAATTGAAACTTTAAATTAATCGATTTTATTAGTTAAGATCAGTTTTTTTCTAATCGTATGATTAACACGAAAAATATCGTGTTGCCACTTTAAAAATTGTTATACTTTGCAACATTATGTACCTAACATTACGCTACTTTATCCAAAGAGGAATGGCAGTACTTCCAGATATTGTAACACCCACTTTTTGCGAGGATTTTTTGTTCCAGGTAATAGGGACTACTAATTGGACATTTCAAACTAAATGTTACGTTTGGTTTTAATGTTATCTAAAGGATATTTATTTTAAATTGCATAATTTTCAAAATATATATTTATAGTTTTATTTTGAAGGATGCAAACTTCATTAATAAATCATTAGGCAATGTCAATAGTACAGTAGAATGTAGGAGGAGATGCTTACTAAAATTAAATAAAAATAGAACAAAATAATTTATAAAAATTTATTCAGTACCCTTATCTTTCCTCTTTTTCTTTTTTTTAGGCACATAATCTTCAGCTACATGTTCAGTGGTAGCATCAATATTTTTATTCTTTTTAGATTTTTTAGTTATGACAGGTTCATCCACATTTTCCACTGGGTCTACAGGTTCCACGGGTTCTACAGGTTCAGCTACAGTTTCTTCAAAATCTTTCTTCTTTTTCTTTTTTGACTTTTTACTCTTTTGTATTTCATTGACATTGGAATCTGGTTGTGTTGGAATGTTCTCATTGTCTACAATCTCATTGGCTACTGGTTCTTCATCTTGATGTTTCCTCTTTTTTTTCTTTTTCTTTTTACTCTCAACCAAATTTTCATTATTTTCATTATCAACCGCTTCATTCTCTTCCGCATTAGCTAAAGAAAATGATTGGAAACCAAATCCTTGATGAGTCTCTTCCTCATCATCTCTATCCATAGTTCCGGAGAACCCTCGGAATGAATAATCAGTGTTTTCATTATCATTTGTGGCATTATTTTGTATGTGAAGTTTGTTTTTTGATTTCATAGCGGCCAGTTTACTTTTAAAGTAATCCTCCATGCTACCTCCTTCAGTAAACACTTTATCAACAGGTGTGGCATCTTTTTCATCCTTTTCAGCACTGTTTTCAACTTTTTCTTCAGTGCTTGGCTTATTTTCACCTTTTAAGGTCTTTTTACCAAAAATATTAGCTAAATCCTTTTCACTGTAGCGGGTTAAATCCTTGCCTCTTGTAAACTTATGGTAATGTACTCTTGCTTTACTTGTCTTTGATTTCACTTCAAGAGATACTCCACTGTGTAATTTGTCATCTTTGTTACTATCACCTGGAATATAAGTTAGAATAACTTTTAGAGTTGTTTACTTGCTTGTTAATTAAAATAATTTGTTAAGTATTTTAAAACGTTAATACCCAGTGAGAAGAAAGTATCTAGCAACCATAAAAAGTTTATTTTTGTAACTAGAATAAAACTATGTATGGGTAAAGTATTAACTTTTAATAAACACTCACCGTTGGATAAATTAGCTAATAATGAATTAAAATCGTCTTCATGTTTTGTCCACTGGTCGTTCCTGTCCTCGAAACCCAATCCTCTATCATCATTCTTGTATCTGGCCACAACATGTTCCACAATACCATTTTCTTTAGCACCTAACCCCTTTCCCGCACTCCATCCCATTTTTTCCAACATTCGTTGACCAAACTTTGTTGTATCTTCGCTCCATGCATTGTTTTTAGCTCGTAAATTTATTACTTTTTGTTTACGTCGAGGTCCCGCTAACATAGCCATGATTATTTCGTTTTTCAATGCATTGCACACGTGAGAATATTTTAACAAAAACAAAATGGAAGACAAAGGCGTGAACTACGAACAAGTTCTCGCTCTGACATCGCGGTGTGCTCGTTTACAATACGTGATTCGTTGGGAGTGAACTGAAGTTCGCGCGCTCCGTAGTGGATACAGCGACGCGATTGGTGTTTCATTCGGTTACGTTGGCATTACTGACTAGCGCGGTCCAGTGACTGCCATGCGATTGTTCGCTATTTGAGCATAGATAATCATTTGCATAATTTGATTTGAAGCATGAAATATTTTTGAATTATAAAGTTAAACATTTTTAAATAAATAAACCGCATGATTACAAAATAAGCGTACAATTAAATTGTAAGAAATTATTGGTAATCTTGAACTTTATTTTATTTTGGATCTATGAACCGATACGGTAGGATATCCAGTATATCCACCTACTTTAGTATTGCACCCTATGTGACCGACTTTGCAATACCGCAATGGGGTGAGAGAATCTTTCGAGTCAATTAATGTGTCAGTGTTTGAACGTCAGTAGTTAGAAGTCATTAGCAATGCATTGTACTGCTAACTCATTATTCAGTAAAGTGACGGTTTAACCTTCTATCCATCTGCAATTTTGATTTCACTATGTATTGTTAATTTATGTAGTGTAGGTTCGACCTGTTTTCTTTGCATGTGACTTCTGGTTCTTATTTTTTTTTGCTGTGAACTAAATCATTGTGACCAAATGGGCTTGAAAATGCTCTGAACCTAGAGTTAGCTCTAGGTAGTATGAGTTACGTGCAATTTTAATAGGATATTTATATTTTTTCATGCGTTTTAGATACTTATAAACTTTTCAATGAATAGCCTTAATTACTATTAATTTAATATTTTTATGTTTTGTATTCGTAATTTATTCATAAGTTATCCATTTCCGTATTAGGTATACAAAATACCGCAATGTAAACCGGATGTAAAACCGTATTGCAATACAAATAATAAGTATTGCAACATAAAATATTACTTCTAAAAACTTGTATAAGATAGCTGATAAATGTACCTAAATGTAACAATGCGAAATCAAAATACTCTTCCTTTCATTGTAAAAAGAAAACCAATAAAAAGTTTTCAAATATTAGGTACAATATAGTACCTAAATATGATAGTAGCAGCGTCCATAAATCAAAACATAACTAATTACCATTCGGGTGACAGGTGCAGCAACACTAAACCGATCAATAAGCGCTGCATAGGTACACTCCATTACTACGTTCAGTTTACACAGGGCGATAGCTGTACTACGAGTACAGCAGCGGTGTAGGCACTTGTTGAATAGCCATTATCAACATTTTTACGTTCAGTCAATTCTACGATGACGAAGTGCAACATGGTGATTCTAAAGTGCGAAGCGAATCTAACTCGCCGGTACAGTGTAAACCGCTACAGTTGTCGGCCAGTCACCACAGCTTAACACCGAGCCATGACTACTACAGAAGGTGGGAGACCGTGGGATTGACGAGCAATGGAACATTCGGTAACTCCATAGAATTTAAAATTATGTCGTATAACGTGCGGTCACAAAGCCTCCTAGAGAAATATCCGTGGTTTTATAAAAATTGTCCGAGTCAGTCTTTGTTGTGGGAGAACAGAGCGCCTCGGTTGTTCAATGACATAATTAACCAGTTACCCGATATACTATGTCTTCAAGAAATAGAAGAAAATCAACTGGGCATGTTTAATTTGAAATTACATGAACTCGGCTATCAGGGTGTTTATAAGAAAAAAAGTTCAGACGCCATGAGCGACGGTTGTGCAACTTACATTAAGCAATCAACTTTTATGTTTGGAGATGTTATTTTTGTGGAGTTTAGCCAGCCGAAGGTAACAATTTTAGATCGTCATAACATAGGCATCATAACGAAGTTAATACCTAAGAGAATGCCTCAAAAAACACTTGTCGTAGCAAACACTCATTTACTTTACAATGAAACCAAGGGGATTATTCGGCTGGCTCAAATGAAAGTTTTCCTTGCTGAAATCGATCGAGTATCCTACGTATTTAATGGACGAGATTCTGGGTATCTCCCCATAATATTGACTGGAGATTTCAACTCTAAACCCGATAGCTACGTCGTTGAGTTATTGCAAGTAGGACAAGTCAGTAGTATTGAAGAAAAACAATGGAATAACGAAGAATGGCAAAAAATTGGAATTACGGACAATTGCCAACATTTGTCGGTTTTCGTGAACAGGAGCTATGGATTATCCACCGACTTCAAAGAGCTGCATATTTATAACTCTGAGTACAGTACCTCTTGCGAGCAAGGCAGTAAGCGCTTCACCAGCGAAATACTTCATGAGGCAGTGTACTACGATCTATTCCACAGCAATATCGTATCAAATACGCTACATTTTCGAACAATTTATGAAACTAATAGGGGTAAGCAAAATCGATTTTTTGAAGCATCCGTCTATCACGACACCTGGTACTTGATTGATTATATATTTTACACCGCATGTTCTGGTTTGCGGCCTATAGAGCGGTTTAGTCTCTTGGACTCATGTGACCGCAAAAATGTTGGTACACTTCCAAGTGAGTACTACGGCTCCGACCATATCTCGCTGGTAGTGGTATTTGAATTGACTTCCAAAAAACCTTTTTAATCCGTCAATCACATTCATGCAATGTCTATTATTTTTAAATGTTTACAAAAAAATTGTGATTGACGATTGTGATACAGAATGAAATTCAAATTTTAATATTAAGTGGTGTCCTAAATCTAGTCAATCATAATTTAATTATCTTTATAATATTGTTTACAAAAGTAATCTTAATCTTTGCGATATCTTTATAAAATAGCCTGTTGAGTAAATGGTTGTGAACCAATGTTTTTAGTTTTTTAAGTGCAAACGCGATACGGTTATTACGTCACGACTTAGAGAGTGCGTGATTTGATGTCAGAACAAAACGTTTTTTTTGTCAATCCGCCGGCGTGATGGGAATTAAAAAATAGACTTAGTATTTATGGGTCGGTAATTGTTACCAACCGCACAAAACTAAAAATTATGTTTTATTAGCGCGCTTTTTTGATTACAGGGTTAATTAAATATTTATAGCTCGTTAATTAAATTTTACGATTGTCTGCCAAAAGATTAATTTAAAATTTTACAAATATTTTAATTAGGTAGCAATACGTAAGTTAGGTTTTGAGATTACTCCTGTTTTTACATCGTTCTTGTTACTCAGGTTAGGTAAGAATTTTGAAAACATCATTGAACATATCTATATAGAATCTAATATATACCCATGTGGGTTGCTAAGTATAAAATTAGTAAATGGCTGGACCAATTCGGCTTATTATTTTTTCAAACTATCTTTCAAAGATATAACATAATTAAAAAATAATAATAAAAAATTGTCGGTAAAATAGTAAACGTCTGTTGGGTCCACAGAATAAAACTACCATAAAATTGTAAACTACACTAAGTTTTATCTACCTGCAAGTACAAAGTTAATTTTATCTTATAAAGAATTTATTTTTTACAGACAGTATTCTTGTTACAATGCTCTGTTACTGTAAAAGTCTATGTCAATATTTTTATTGCTTTTTCATAAGTGTCATGCGTTTGACTTATAGAATAAGGCATTCGCCACGTTTGAATATTTAATTATTTTTATAAATTAAAAACGGTTAAATTCGAAATAGGCGAAGAACGCAGACCAATACAGATTTTTACTACCAATAGTTAAGATTTTACTAAAAACCTTAAGATTTAGGCTAGGCTTTTACAGTATCAATTTTATTTACCTATAAGTACATATTTTTAAATTTCTAATCGTATACGACGTTGATGTTTTCATCTAAATAATTATTTGTACAGAATAAAATAAATTCCAAAAAAAAATAGTAGTACAAAACAAAAAGTGTACGTACAATAATACATACATATACTGAAACCCTAATAAACCCCAAAGGGGTTAACAGAGTGAACTTACAATAAAAATATTTTTTATTTTACCGCATACTTAGGCACCGCATCTTTTGGCGCTCTCAGTGTATTAAAGACAAAATTAAAAATTGTTGTATAGTGTTGCAACACTCAAAAAATTTATTCAGTTTCAGAATTTACGTGTTTTTAAGAATGGTGCGAGTTATATTATTGTAAGTGTAATTTATTAGTAGCAACTACAGAAATATTAGATATCTATGGAAGCAACTAGTGTAAGCTTATGTGATCCCAATGTTACTTGCAAGACTTAATAAGGTTAGCGCGTCCCCACCCCTAGCGAATAAATGTTTAGATCTTTGTATATGAATGTCTAAATGTGTTCACTAAATAATAAAATTTACACATTTAAAATGTTTATCCTACTACTTATAATTATTATAATCTTTTACAAGTATTCTTATTTAAGGCTTTTTGAGAACGCCTGATTCTCTTTCTTGTCCTTGTCAGTCAAATTGACGGAAAATTTGATAGAATTTTCATGCAAATGTGTCAAAATTATTGTGTATGGTAATTTAATTAGACATTATGAAATAAGCCGTAATGTAAGATACTTATAAGTTATTTAAGATTACCTATCTGTAAAAGTAGATGCATGACTTAGATATAAGTAGTTAGATACTTATGGAGGTTACACATCTTGTGATTTAATTGTACAGTTTTAACTATACAGTCAGTTTAATCGTAGGTCCATACAGCCTACACAGCTTCAGCCCAGCTCTTTGCTTTTTTTAAGTTTTTAAAGTCGATTTAAAACTGGACAGTTAGGCGAATCGTAAGGCGTGTGGCGTGCATAAGACATTTTAATTATAGCTGTCAGTAGACATTAGATAGGAATTTTTAGAATGTAGATAGGTAGAAGCGGACTTTGGTAACACCGAATAACAATGTCTATGTGCATCTTTAAGCTTACTTGACACATTTTAAAATTTATCCGTTACGTAGACTGTCAGAAGTTACCAACACATTGTAACATGCTCATACTAGATTAGAACAAGTATTAATGCATACATGATCAAATCAGTGTCTATTAATATTAAAATGATTGTATCGTGAGTAGCAGTATTTTATTGAATTTTATCAATTCACAATATTGATTGTGTGTTTAAAAAATAATAATC